CCCTCAGACTTGATAATTATACAGGCAGTTCAAGTAGGACTTGCTAATGAAGGACCATGGAGTCTTTGTTCTTATTCCTGGCTGCTGAGTCTGGGTCCACTTCTCCTAAGCTCAGCTGCTGTCAAGTTAGACATTCAACCTAAACCAGTCATCGGTTTCTGCCTCTGTGGTCAATGGGGAGAGAGGGAGAGGATCTGATGTCTCCAGAGTGACTCATCCCATCCTAAACAAGACATCTAAAATAGGCAGGTATTAAGCCAGTAACTCCAGAAGTTAATTTGTCTTTGGTATTAGTAGATGTATGAGGAGAGGCTGAAGTCCCTTGGTTTGTTCAGCCTAGAGAAGAGGAGACTGAGAGGAGACCTCATCGCGGCCTACAACTTCCTCACGAGGGGGAGCGAAGGGGCAGGCGCTGATCTCCTCCCTCTGCTGACCAGTGATAGAACCCGAGGGAACGGCATGAAGCTGAGACAGGAGAGGTTTAGGTTGGATATCAGGAAAAGGTTCTTCACCGAGAGGGTGACCTCAGGGAAATGGTCACAGCACCGAGCTTGACTAAGTTGAAGAAGCATCTGGCAACGCTCTCAGTCATATGTTCTGATTCGACTGGTCCTGTGTGGAGGCAGGAGTTGGACTCAATGATCCTTATGGGTCCCTTCCAACTGAGGATATTCTAGGATTCTATGATTCTATGATTCTGTAAAGCATATAGCTTTATTTTTTTGTCAGCTAAAGCTAGCTCCAATTATTCTGTCCTAAGTGCGGTCCGTTCTTGCCTGTGAAAATGTGCATCTTCTTTCTCACACAGCTGCTTGCTCCTGGTAAAGGCTCACTATAAATACTTACCAAAGGACAGAGAGGGTAGTCACAGTTGGAAGGTTGTTACGAGACCTACAGCTCTGGTGTCTGCTCTTGGGTGCTTGGGTGACAGGGAGGTGAGCTAAGGAAACAAATATGAACTGCTCTAGTGTCCCCACAGTATTGCCTAACTTTGTGAGGAAGCTGTGAAATCTAATGCTTTGTTAAATTTTATGTCATATTAAAGCATTGGTGTTTAACCTTCTATATAAAAATGCTTATGTTTCAATTAGTTATACAGTTGTGAACAGCTATTCGATAGTGGCAGGAGGCTATGAGAACGCAGTGGTGTGCTGGTTAGGACGTGCTGGCCCCACATTCACCTTCATCATGGCAAGAGCATCTCACTGCTTAAGCCTTGAAGACCTGCAGTAAAGGCATGGAAGCAGAAAAGCCCCACAATTACGGTGACATAGCATTTTACCGCATTTTTTATTGGCACAAACACTTCCCAGAAGAACAGCATGAATCAACTATCTGAGCCAATGTTTAGTAGTCATGAGTAAAGCAGGACTGTTAAGATTAAAATGACCTACAGTTTAGTTTTGTTTTGTTTGAAATTAAGTGGAGGTGGGCAAGAATGTGTTGGTGAGGGGAAACAGCAAGCAATCTTGAAAAACTGTCTCAAAGAAGAAAAAGACACTTTAGAAAAGTAGTATGTTGTGGGTTTTTTTTTTCCTGTACAGCTGTATCAGCGTGCCTTCTCAAGTATTTGCTGAGTGTAATTATGTTTATTTCTAAAGAGTGCCAAAGGCAGACGAGCTCTGGAGTGTTCAGCGCGGGAGGAGGTGGGTTTGCTGCCCTGCTGCCCACGCCACTGGAGGGCTGGAGGTGATGTGCTTCAGGGCATGGGGCAGCCTCACCCGCTGTCACAGCCCAGCTCCCAGCCAGGTACCTGCCTGCCCTGTCACCCTTGCAACAGCAATGTGACGTTAGCAGAGGAGAAGAGGGACCTGCTGGGCTGTTAGTTGTTTAACATGCCAGAAATTTGGGTCTGTTCCTCCAGCACCCCACTTTCAGCTGCAGTACAACAAACGGAGTTTCCTTCCTCACAGTTCCCATCAGTGCTCTGCCTAAAACACACTTGCATGCTTTCTTGGTGGTTTTATCTCATGACAGTACTGCAGTGCTGCTCTTTTGCCTCATATCTGGAATCAAATACATGCATTTTATGGTGCAAAGCGCCAGCCAGCCTCTCAGTCTTCAGTAAATTTCCGAGGCATAGGTACCTGACTTTGTGGCAGTGCTCATGTCACCACTGCCTGTGCTGACGCTGTCTCTGAGGAGTAAGGTAGAGAGAAAAGCCTCCACTGCCACCATCTCCATCCCCATCTTCACCCCCGTGCCCTCATATAGCTGTAGAGGTGTTGGACCGCTGCCTCCTCCCTGCTGCAGAGGCTGCAGAGCCCCAGCAGCCACCACTGCCGGCTGGGTACTCTGTCCTCGTTTGTGCCCTGCTCATAAAAAAAAATAGCAGCTAATATTAGGTGGTACCTAGGGATAGGGCGGAAGCTTACAAACTTACTCTTTTTACAGTCCAGTAGCTAAAAATCTAAGGCTATAGCTTTCCTAGTGAACTATGCAGTGCCAGGAACCGTACTTGGGCAGGGAACACAACTAGCATTGCTCTGGGGAAGTTGGGCAGTGCCTTCCTGACGCACTCGGGAACAGGATGGGAATTTGATCCACAACCATCCCCAACAGCCACCTTCAGTGTGGCCACCCTGTTTCAAGTGCTGGAAGTTTAACTGGATGGCAGGAACTCTCCAGACCAGCTGGCGGTAGCACTTCACAGTCCCAGCACATTTAGTGTGCTGGCGATACCGGAGTTTGAGCACGTCCTTGCAGCCAGGTTGGCAGCTGAGAACCAGCTCCAGCCCCAGAGCCGTGTGCCTGTTTCCGCATGTGAGAGCAGGAGCGTGGCCGGAGCGCAGAGCCCGATGCCTGGCTGGGGGACAGCCAGACCCAGCCTCCCACCGCTCCCCTGCTGTGTGTGCGCACACAGTCCGAAAACCTCTGGCAGCGAACATGTTGTCTTAAAAATGGCATTTCATTTGCAGCACTGTTACGAGAAGAAAAGCTTGCTCGTTCTTCAGCTGTACGTGCTGTTTGTCACGAACTCCACTGAAGGATGATGCTGACCATCTCAGACAAAAGCAATGAAGCGCTGCACACAAGTTCTGTAAAGAAAATGTTTTATTTAAAGTGTTAAATACCATCACCAGAATGAGTTTGATTTACATTAGTTGGTGTTCATTACATCTGCCCCCCTTTTTTTTTTTCCCAACTGTAATTCCTTTTAACTTTTTAAAACGGACTATGTACAAGACAGCAGTGATCACTGGAATAGTGCTATTTACATGACTAAACCATAAGTAGAGTTGCAGACGTGTGAAAATTAAAAAAAATACAGTAATTTTTTTTTTAAATAAATACTGCATAATGACAAGTATGTACAAACCTTCCATGCGTCATGTCCTTGATTTTAAAATTCGAAATAATTTATATAGGACTATGCATACAAGAACGTGTGAGCACATCTCACAGTATCAGGAAAATGGTTATGTATTTTTGTTTAATATCCTAGGGGATATTGTAGACTGCATGTTAGTAGCATTTATTTGCTGCTGGTAGACAGGTGTCTAAATTATTTCCATAAATATAATTTTACCAGTCTGTCCATTAACTTAACAATAATCCATTACATAAACTCTGAAGACAAGACACAATCTTGATTTATATGATATTGCACAAAGTAAAAGGCATTTTAAGTGATACTGTTATTACTTTTGCCCTCTTATGAGGCATGTACAATTTCTTAATGGGAAACTTCAATAGATTTTCAAATAAAATCAGAGTAATTGTGTGGCCTTAAAGGTAAATGCAATGTATATTTCAAAAATTATTGCAAGGTTTCAGTATTAAACCTTAAACAGGTATTAAAGGCATACAAAGACCCAGAAAAAATGATATTTTGTTATTAAATGTTAGCCAGTTACATTCTCTTTAAATAATGTAATTTAATGAGAAGCTTGAACTTGCAGCACCACCCAACGGTAGTTACTGTCTGCTACAAAAAACAGGTTTTTGAAGAGCCATTGACTGCAGTGAGGGTTCTGGTAATGGTGTCAAATAGCTGTCAGAGTGGTACTGATAAGCTTTCTTTAAGGCTATTTTACGAACCAAAGACTGATATTTTCCAGACTGATATTACCTAATTATGTTTTTTGCAACACAAATGTAGTGTATGAAAATTGAACTTTACAGCAGAAGAACTGTATGAATTAGTAACCTTTGTCACTTTTGTGATCTCGGAAATGTAGTAATAAATTTGGTTTAGTGCAAATAAAAGTGTTTAAATTTATTTCCTAAAAATCAACCAGGTACTTTATTTTTCATCTTTCCAAAAACCTTCAAGAAATGATAGTTCAACCTTTGAATGAAAGATGCTGGTGCTGAAAACAAATTCATTGAAGACATCTTACAATGGCCACATGATTCCAGTATTTTGCTGTAGAATTCAATTTGAAGGTGAGAAAAAATGAAAATAAGTTACCATGCACTGTACAATAAATTGCAAAAAGTTCAAATATCTTCTTTATCAAATACATGCTGAATTACATTAATGTACTCCCAAGCCATGTTGCAAAATCCTTTTCAACATGCTTGAAAAAAAAGTAAGTTCTTAAACAATATTTTTCTCAAATAATTCAGAAATGCAGAACAATCTGCAACCCTGAACCAAATATGGGGCATAAGAGAGTACGAAGTCAAAAGGTAGCCATTTTAGAATATGATGATCATCCTGGGAGGTAGAGGGGGAAAAGAGCAAAAGGAAGAAAGGAGACTGGGAGGAGAGATAGAGAAAGGAGGAGGTAAAAGAAGTGTACAATTTGCACATTATGTTGAACTTTACAAGGCTTGTACCTTTTACATTTAAATAAATTTAATATATTACACTTATTTCTCGTCACATAAACAGAATTTTAAATATTTGCTAGAAATTATTTTTTGTTTTTAATATACGTCTGCAAAAATACAGACCATGACTGGTTTAAAGAATGATAAACGTGGTGTGTCTTTGTATCACCCTGTTGCATTCTCTTCCCTTTAAAACCATGCACTAGTGAAATTTATTTTTAAAAATAATATAAATTGTTGAAAATGGCTGATTTATTCTTTTTTTTTTTTTTTTGCAAGTTGCAGCCCCAAGAAAATAATTTAAGTGTTCAGCTAAATCTGTGTCCATGCAAAAAAGTTTCTTTAATTTCATACAGTACAGTATATCCACAGAATTTTATTTTTCAGAGAGTTCATCACATCTGGGGTTTCACTGTATCTATAGCTGGAGGTATGAAGCCCACCACTTTAAGTCTTGAACCTTTTCAGTATGAAGAATTTTCGGATCTCAAGCAAACTGTTTTGAGCGACAGCTGACTTTTCCAGCATCCTTACGTTCTTCTTTTCTTCCAATGTCTGCTAATCCACTGACTTGTAACATGGCTTCATGGGAGGGTAACTCCATTTCTGTGGCATAACCAAGCTTTAGGAGGGGAGGGCACATAAATAAAGAAACGGGAGCAACAAAACAGATATGCCATTGAAAAGGACTTTTGTTGCATGAAACAGATTGATTCCTTTAGTTTAGTCCATGGCTTCAGATTGGACCAAAACTGAGTGTCCCTGAACTCCAAACCTATCAGTTCTTCATGACTTCAGTCCTTCACCTGAGGGCCTTCTGTAGGGCACAATGTGTGCAACTTCCTTGAGAACACAGGATCGCGTTGCAGCCCTAGAAACAGGCTCAGAAGACACAACATTAAGCATGCAGTGTTACCAGGGTTTGCGACCTGTAATTTTATTTTTTTGTAACGCTGGTTGCTATGACAACAGTTTCACAGCTGCTATGAGCGAGCATACGAAGGTCCTGTTGAACTTTCAAGAGATGATTGGGAAGCTCTTCTAGTGAGAGGAGCTAAAGTTGGGTCTACTAGGGAAGAAGGAGGGAAGAGTTTGAACCACCCAATCACCATGTTGGACAGGTCCAGTTCATCTAAAAGTATCTGTGCCACTCCCATAAAGGATTTGTGATCCATACGTCCATAGTCTCCCCAAACAATTATCTGTTAGCAAAGGAAACAGAAGAAAATAGAAAAAATTCAGCAAAAACTATGAGAGCTTCCATCTGATTTGTCACATCTCTGCTTATTTAATTATAGCAAGGAATTAAATATTTGACTGCTGACATAGGTTAGTTCTATGTATACTGATCAGGATGCAGTGACAGAAATGACCTGGGCAGTTAACAGAGCAGTTATCCATGATACTGAAGAAGGCCCAGTGAGAGAAGGAGCCCATACAAATAGTAGAAGCAAAATAATCTACTCAGCACTTTCTACTTGCATCAACAGTTATTACTGTTGTATTTATCTGCTGAACAAGTATCTGAAATAGCAGAACTTGCCAAATGAAGCAAGAAAGGAAGTTTGAAATTCATTCAGTGAAAACTGTACAGGTGATATTTTCAGATTCAGAAGAGTATCGATGGAAGTTACCTGTAAAACTTTTCCTTGGGGACTTTCTTCGAATGATAGAAGTTGCTGATAAAGTGGTTCCAGTGTTTTTCTTGCTACCTTTGTTTTCTTTTTGGCTATGCAGACTCCATTTTCTAATAGATACACCTTTACATATGGTGCTTAGAAGAAAGAAAATAAAGAACAGTAAGTAAAGAAGTCCAGATTTTTTGCATAACAGATGCTCTGTTCTATTGCCATATGATAACATCTGCCCTTTACTGGATATATAATTTATATGAACAAATCTCCACAAGCAATATTAACATTTATTCACATGCAAAGCATCCATGCATTTATGCTGGCATAATTTTTCTTTGCTTCTTTTTGTATGTCTCTTTTGCCATGAAACAATTCAGATTTTGACCTGGAAAAATCAAATATTCCTATATATAGTATCCCTATACTGTACAGTATGCAAAATAGGCCTGTTAAGTAAATGAATGACTTGCATTGACTTTGGTGAGATTTGGATCAATGCTCCAAATTGTTAATAATTAAAAATTATCTACAAGGTGAAAATCAGGGAAGAAAAGACTCTGACACGATTTCTATTTTGGCAGAAGAGCTTGCTAAAAATATCATTATATTGTCCTTTTCACATAGTGTTATAGGACATCAGATTATAAAATAAGGAGTAAGTATCAAATACTGGTCTACTTTTTGAGTAGGTACCTATTCCACACCTCTTGTTGATTCCCTCTTCATCCCTAAGATTCCTATATCACATCTTCAGTATAGACCTTCCTTCTACACCATAACCAAGGATCTATTTGCTATTACTAACTTTTGTGTCTTCTGGTAGCCCAGACACCACTCTGATTTTTTTTTTTCCTTCTGAAGTAGGGTTGGGTTTTTTGTATACCATTTCAATACATTATGCATTTCAGTGTACAATATTGAATACTGTAATATACTGATATGTGAATTTTCTAAGAGTTTACCTAAGTTGAACAGTAAAGCTTTAGGAGTTGGGAGTTTGTGGGATTTTTTTGGTAGAACTCTATTCTTGTTGCTAAAATTTTCCTTCCTTACCTGGCAGTGTCTTTGAACCTGGTTTTACAACAAGGCCACGGGCTCGGATGATTTCTACTTCCAGTTGTCCTTTCTTGTCCATCATTCCCACCTGTATATCTCCTAGACAACAAAAAGAAATCCTGGCATTGTAATTCAGGAAATATGAAAAGCTATGGGAATTTCTAGGATGAATATGTGATGACTTGTATCGTCTGCATTCCATCAATAACTATGATCCAGATTTTAACACTACTACAGAATTTAATACTTATCCTCTTCACCGCTATTTACATTAGTAAACAATTTAAAAACCCTGCAATAACATCTTCTCTCCCATTTCCCATGCCCCTATCACTTCAAATTCCATTTTTTTTTTTGTCTTAAGAGTTTCAGATTAAAAAAAAGCAGCAAGGGAATTAGTACAAAGCAGCTCTGTAAAACTTCTTGAAATCTCTTCACCATGCCTCTAGTTTAAGAAAAGATAGCTTGTGAATATAAAAAAGCCTGTAAGCACAATAATAATGAATACTTTGCACCTAAATTCCCATTTTTATTCAATACTATCCCAGTGATTCAGAGAAAGGACTGGTCTCATTAGCCACATTTTAAAGATGGAAAACTGAAGAAGAAGAGATAAAAGACTGAATTTTTCAAAGCACCTTTCTACTTTTGAGTGTCTTAATGAGCATCCACAATTATGTTCAACTTTGGCTGAGGTTACAGTTTTGGTCTTAACTGAGTTGTTCAAAACCACATGGGAAATCCATATTTAAAGACTTAGAATCTAGATAATTTCTATGTTCTAATTACCAGACTCAGTAGATTATATCATATGTATAGGACATAAATGCTTACCCATTGATGGTGTTGCCAAAGTCTGTCGTCCTACAAGCTGGGCAGGACCAAGTCCATCCAGAAAGTCACTGAACTGGCTGTCTGCAGCCAACCTCACACCAGGGAAAATCAAACTAAAAAATAATATTGAAAAAAAATACACTTGAATTTGCCCTTTTTTGTTTTCTAGATGTTTTGCATTTAGCATTTATGTTTTTTGGTACTACTGCTAACAAGGAACTTATTTACACTGACAAGATTACAAAACAATTACTGTAATTCTCAAAACTTCGGTGTTCAACAAGCAGCAATTTGGCCTCAAAAATATAAACAAACAGGTGAAGGAAGCACTAATCCTCACTAAGTCTAATTTCCACAGTAATGTTTTTCCATCATGTATTTTCCCAATATGTTAAAGACTACTGTTAATAATTGTAGTATTCATATGACACCAGTTCAATAAGATACTAATACACTTACCATAATTTAGGTAAGTAAAATTGCTCACATTTTTCAGTCAATGTGAACTCAATGGCTTAATGTCAAATGTATCCAGTGATATTATTACATTAGACTGAACACTGGTCACTATTTTTAAAATCACCTTTTAAAATCAGCTTCATTATAAACATTTTGTTAAAAAAGTCTTTGAGAATGGCATCTATTCAATAACAGAATGAAATCCATTGTGGCAAATGACCGAAGTAACTTAAAATTCAAATTCTTGCCATGAATTATCTGTGACCCATTACAAGGCAACAAGAACTAATGAGATTTGTGATGATCAGCCATAAACAAATGTGCATCTCAAGTACATATAGTGCATCAACTTGGACGTGTAAGATATATTGTCCAGTATAGGTGTACATCCAGTGCTGTGAATACCACTAATAAATCTATCCACAGTAAGATTTTTCTGGGCAATGTCTTGGACATACCACTCAGAAGTCTTTAAATTAAATTGAGCTTTTATGCAAAGCATGATACATGAGTCTCATATTTCCGCCCAGATGACCTCTTAGGATTAATTAGCAGAATCTTGGAAAAACGCTTGAGCCCAGTGAATGACACCTGGAAATGCTCTGGAAATGCTTTGCTCTGCAAAGCACAGACATATGCGAGGAGTTTTCAGAAGACAACTGTGTTTTACCCAGTGCACTGGATGTGCCTCCCCTCCTGCCACACCGCATGTTGGTGCTCTCACCCACCGGATGCCTTTCTCATGGCATGGCAGAAAGGATCCTCATCCTTCCTGCACAAACAATGGGATACTCTTTCAGTCACAAGGGAAGACTCAGGCTTGTTCCATCAATGACGCTACCTTGTGAAGGGAATTCTGACTGAACAGGACCTACAGCGCTCACTGCACTTTTGTCTAACTACCAGTGTCATGGAGAAATGTCAGGTAACCACAGGTACAGCTGCTGCTTACTTTCCCTCAGAGCTGTAGCTGTTCATGCTCCCATCTGTCGACTCCCGGCTGGCCTGACGGGTCATCCAGTTCCTCATCTCCACGGCCAGCCCTGTCTCAGTGCTCCTCTGGACGGTGCTCCGCAGCTTCTTGCCCCCTGCTTCTGCGGAGAAAAAAGAGAAGCCCCCATCGCACCACGCTGTCGCGGCTGGGCGGCCGTGCGGGGCACCGCTGCGGGCAGCACACCACCACTCCACGTGGCACAAAGAGTCGAAGCCAGAAACTAATGACTTGTACCAAAACTTCCATTTTAAAATTACTGGGTTTTTAATAACAGGCAAGCAGCACCATAAGTCTCTTTTACAGGACCTTAGTTCTGTCACCACCTGCTTTCCAAGGGCAGACAGCACACGCAAAACACAAGTCTGCCCACGGACTTAACCGGATTTACACTATCCACAGTCTAGTGTGTTTAAAATATGTTTTCTCTGGATGAATATATCCCTCCTAGGAATTCAATTAAAATGTTACCATTATGTCAAAACCTGCAGTGTCTGAGGAATGTTCTAATTCAGATGAATTATTTGATTTAAAAACATTTGGTCATTATCTACTAAATCAAGTTACAAATATCCATTAGTGAGAACAGTAAACAACAAATCAAGAACCCTTCCCATTCTTTCTTCTCTATTCACACTCTTCTCATTTCACTAGCTGCTTTAAGTTAGTGTCTAAAAATACAATATTGATTTATGCACAATATGTAACTTTATTTCCACCTCCGAGAGTAACAATTTTTGTACCTTCTTGCATAGTTTAATTTAGTTGTAAAAGCAGCAGTGACAGATAGCTGAGCATCAGACAATGGAAGAAATGCTCGAAACTTAATGCAGTAGCATTTTAGTGTAGGACTTTTGATCAAGACCTCAGCTGGAAGATATATTGAAAGTGCCACCAAAAAAACCCTAAACTACTGAGTGGGAATGAAGCCTCACTTTTTCTTTCATGAATAAGACAGTTATTCCATGCCATTTCTGATTTTCAATTCTGTTCCCTGCAATGGTGCAGGGAATTCTGTATTGCAATTTATCTTGGTTCGATGGATAAAACACCCTGACTTCAGCACAGTGATGTGTGATATATTGATAATATCATACAAGAGAAATAACTCTAAATGTACATGACATCAAAAGATACGAGAATTCTTAAATATCAATACAGTGAGGGTAGAGTAATATCCAGGATCCTAGGATATCTACAGACTCGCCCTCTTCTGCAGTTGTTTGTAGCCTCTGCTACCCTTTCACCACCTCTGTCTCAGCACATACCAGATGGCAGAAGAACTGCTGGACTTGTGTGGTCGGTGAAGCTCTAGGGATTTGAGAAAGGAAATGACCAAGGGAGGAGATTGTCCTGGGATAAGGACCCTCACACCCCGAGGAGGACGTGTGAGCACAGGGGCTGGCTTTGCGTGAGAGGACCTGCACCCTCGGACAGGGAATAGGAGAGGGGCGTTGATTTCGATGTCCCCACTCAGTGTCCCTCTGTCCTACAGGCTGCAGTGTGGGTTGACGTGTCCCAGGAGCACACCCCAGGCCCTCCAGTCAGGGGGAATATCAGGTCAGATAAAGAACATGGGAACTCTAATGAAGTGGGAAACAGACATCCAAACCACGTTGAAAACCCACTGGCCCCTTGTCAAGAAAGATTTAATAACATTACAATATTTAGCAGTAGTAGACATTTCTATAGCAGTATCATGAATGATTCAAATCATATGGCTTATTTCAAGCTTTCTATGCATTCCTTAATACCATAACTTTTAATCAGTACATAAAAAATAATTTTGTAATTTTGTTCTAGAACTTCAGCTACCCACATGAATTTAGTACCCAACAGAGTGAAATAAATTTTTTACTATATCAAAACTACTTCTGAAAACGCCCATCAATATCTGGTACAATAAATAAAAATAAAAAAGATACAAGGCTAACATGACATATGAAAAATAAAGGGCAGAAGTCAACAATTTCATTTCTATTGGGTTGTACTGTTCCAAGTGTCTGCTGGTTTTATTATTTATATTAAACTAATGAAAGCTGGCAGCTGACTTCCAACACTGGTCCAGAGTTGTTCTAAAATCCCATCACTCATATCAAAGAAATATTCCCACAAAATTGCCTCAAAAAAACCATGCTATAGTTTTGTAGAAAAGGTACATGGTGTGTCATAGTCACATGTGAAAAGCACACAACTCCTGAAGCCCCATGCTCTTTTCATTAAAGTATTGTTACAGGATGTTACTCTTCTATTGTAAGAGCTCTTTTGATTATTACGCATTCATTTTTGTTCAGCCTTATTGAATGGTGGTCATTCTCGGTTCATTGTTGCAAACATGAATTTGCTTATGCAAATTTAACAGCACATTTCCATCCTGCATGATTCTTCAATCTTTTCAGATCATATCATTCAAAGATTTTGGGGTTTGGGATAAGTATGAGTTTGAATATGTAGGCTGAATATGTGATATTTAAAGGAGTATATAGTAACTTTTAGTAATTAGTAAGACAGATTTTTCTTCTGAATTAGAATTATGTCTGTATGCCTTTAGCAGAATATTCACTAAAAAAATCAACACACTTTTGCACATCAATTTACTGAGGAATCAAGGCAAAAATGCTGCAATTGCCATTCAAGTCTTCATAGAGGCACATGTGTTTCACCAGCTGTTCTCAGCATCCCTCTGAATATTATTTTTAAGCAGTTTTACTTTCCTGCATTCGTTTTAACTGAAGTAAGTGCTCTGGTTCAAATGAAGACAGTCTGATAGCTGAGAAGATAGATACAACTTTGATACAGCATGAAAGTTAGGCATGCATAGTATATCCAACTTTTGTGTAAGTGTGGGTGGTAAACAGTAATTATTTTGACCTTAACACTGAATTTAAGGAGGGCAAAAGGAGGCTATGTAAATAACTGTTTCCCAGTCTTCAACAGAAACAGGCAGAGCTCCCTGATAGTCCCAAAAGAGAAAGATCTGACCTTTTAGCATGAAGGCTCCTAATCATGATGTTGATGCTTCTTGAAATAAGAATTGTAGATTTAACAGCAAAATGGCAATTTGGAATAGAAGTCAGAAGAAGTCCCAGTTCACAGACATGACTCTTGCACCACTGCTTTAGAGATGAATATTCTTTCAGATTAAGCTTGGCTAAACTAATATGTAATAATACGCATGAGAAATATCTACACTTCATTGCCCACAATCCTAGCAATACATTGGTCCCTGGAAAAACATAATAAATAAAACATAATCCCACCATTCTTCAAACAACTGAAAAGCAAAACCAGTATTTATATAATCCATATTTTGTGTTTCATAAATTCAGCATTAAAATACTTAAAAGGTTGCAAGTAGCAATGAAAATGCAAAGTAGTTGCTCCACTCAAAGAAATAGCCTTTGGTGCCATACTTCCAAGCTGTAGCTGGTGGAAGGTCTGGCTGAAGGTCTTACCACTCCAGTAAATCCAAATTGTTTTCCTTCATCCCTGCCTAGAAATTAAAACCTCCTCAATTGTTCTGATTCAACTACTTGTGTGGCTGCATTCTGTACTGGACCCAGCCCAAAAGGAACCAACCAACAATATCTTTTAAAGTTGTTCTTTTTCTTTTAACACAGATCATTTCCCAAAAATGTTTATGAAAACACACACACAGCTGAACAAGCCCAATTGAGGTTATGCTAATCTCTAGCTAGATGAATAACTTGGGAACTAACACAGAAGTAAAGATGTAACTGGTGCCACTGTAAAAGTAGGGGTTGCTTTTATAATCATAAAGTATTTATACATATACACTCACCTCATGCACATTGGTTTTAATCCTACCAAATGAAAGGATGCGGAAACAAGAGAGTCTAGTAGTGTACTTTGTTGCTAAGTATCTTGCTGACCACCTACACTGAAAATCATTTTACTCACAAATCACTAAACTCTAATAAAAAACATTGAAAATGTTCTCCAAATTAGTATCATCTAATTGCCCTAGAAGGAAGAAATTTCTCTCAAGTCCCCATCGCAAAATATGGAATATAGTATCTGAAAAACACGAGTTCAGATTCTTGCAGCCATATTGTAAGGAATGGAATAAATTACCAGAAATAATTGCTTTGGCATTTATGAAAGCACACTCATTCTTACAGTTAATCACACTGGTAATTTAACTAATATGGTTACTGCAAATAGACTCCACAGGCCACATTTTCTGAATTATACATGGAATTATTTGTTCCCACAACTTGGAGTGCAAATCACTTGCAAATTAGGGGTGCAAAACTACTGATATGATCTTCAATATGAGATGAGGACAAGTTGAAAACTGCAGCGAATGCAACAGATTACCTTCCATGATCTGGGATCTAGCCAAATGAAATCTGCCTCCGGTGGGGAGTGGGAGAGCTCTCAGCTGGCTCTCAGCAAGAGCTTCCAACAGCTGCTCACCAGCAGGCACAGGCAGAGGCAGGCTGGCTGTGACAGTCCCCAGGTGGTACGTGATCTCTTGGTAGGACTTGTACTGAGTACAGAGGAGCTGTGGCTTCAGAAACACACTCGAGTGCTTGAGGTGCCTCTTCTCTGCTCTCCCCACCTCACCAAAAAGGCTGAATAAAACCTGCTTCAGTATTTTCATTTGAAGTCAGGAGTTAGATCCACAAAGAGAATAAAGTGCCTTTAAGAGACCATTTTTCAAGAGTAATGCTCTCTACATATCTAGAGATCTTCTCTGGGCATGTTAAGAACAGGCTAGATAAAATCATCAGAGACAGTCTAAGAACATTTGATCCTACCTAAGAAAAGGGGGACACGGTAGGTCTCAAACTCCTTTGCAGCTGCACAGTTCTGTGTCTGGAACAGCCCAGGTTTTGGCCACACTGAACGAGGGATTTAGCTTTTCCTGAAGCACTGCTTGGAACCACAGCTGAGTTTTTTCTTTCCTTGTGTCACCCACAGACCCCAAGCATTAGATATGGATTAAGAATTTAAGCATGATTTGGGAAACCCATGTTCCACTGTTGCCTCAATTTGAGAAGCTTTGAGCCCATCTCACGGAGTCTCGGAGGCCAGTGCTAACCAGCAGCTTAGGAAGTGTTGTGTTACAGCCCTTCT